ATTATAAAACTCACGAGTATCTTGATCTCTCAATCATTGTATTTAAATGCATTATATATTTGAAAACTACAGAGCTTTGATTTAATTTAGAACTTACAATTCATCTTATCTTACTAAATATAAGATATCAATATTTAAATGCATTTTATGTCAGTATATGCTCTTCTGTTATAGAGATGATGAAGTAATCCACATCCATATCATCATCTGCAGTAACAGCACACGTCTGCTAGTGTGAGTCTTCATATTCCCTTCATATTCTCTCTATATCAGAATATACGAGCCATACAAGCCCGACGCATCAAATATAATATAAAACATTAAAAACTCTTCTGTTTTGTTCCATTTCAGTTCCATTTTATATTTTCCGGACTATTATGTTTAATACGGCTAGTCTCTGGCCTGATTTTGCTGTTCTTATTATTTTCTGTAGTTTATTCCAGTCCTTCATATGGAGAGATGAAGCACAGGCCGGACACACACACACACACACACGGGGAACGGACACACAGCGCCAGTGAAATCACAGCAGAAGAATGTCGAGACTCACTGTGGCTATAGAGTAGTGGTTAGGGAACGTCTTACTAGGGAACACAGCCTGCATGAAGGGTGCAGACGTACCGCACTTTCCTGAACACACACACACACACACACACACACATGCACTTTAATACTGACATTCAATAGATTAAATGAGCGCTTGTGTGAGAGTGTGTTGTGAGTTTATATTGTGAGTGTGTGTGTGTGTGTGTGTGTGTGTGTGAGAGACTGACTGATCTTCTCCAGCACTGGCACCAGTGAACTCCACGTCTGCAGATATTCGGCTCTTAAACCATCCAGAGACACCAACAGCAGCGGCTGCCTCTTAAAACTACACACACACACACACACACACACACACATCAATAAACAACTAAAACACTACCAACCAAAGCAGCATAAGTTTGCTTAGTTTCCTAAGTTTCTCAGCGAAATCTGAGGAGATGAAAATGGCAAAGTTCGTCTGTGAAGAGTGTGTGTGTGTGTGTGTGTGTGTGTGTCACCTGGCAGGGCATTTGGCTGTGTTCATGTCCACACACTCATCCTGAACCCACTGTGTGTCTCCTGCATCACAAACATTAAGAAGTAGTAAGACGGAAATATCTTCTTTTATAACTTAAATATTTATATATATATTTACACTGTACCTGCCTGCGCAGTTTTGAGTATGTGTGTGTGGTTTAAAGGGTTAGTTCCCCCAAAAAAAAAAATTGTCAGTATTTACTCACCCTCATGTTGTTTCAAACCTTTGATCTCATCTTAGATCTCATTCCCCATTGACTACCTTAGTTTGTTTTTTTTCCTATTATGGTAGTCAATGGGGAATGAGATCTGTTTGATTAAAACATTCTTCAAAAATATCTTCCTTTGTGTTCAGCAGAACAAATAAACACAGAGGTTTGGAACAACATGAGGGCGAGTAAAAGGTTTTAGGGGAACTAACCCTTTAAAGAAAATACAAATCTCAATTCAACCAATTGAAAGTGAGTCCCTAAAGCAGAGACTCAGAGACGCTGAAGATGAAGATGAGGAAGACTCACCCTTACAGACGCTGTTGTAGTTCGAGCAACAGTCTCCGGCTCTCAGACAGTCGTCAGAACAGTGACACCTACTGTCCGACAGGCGCATCTCTCCACAGCGCAGCGCCGTACACTCCCAGATCTCCGCTGCAACACACACACATCACACACAACACACACATCACACACATCAGTAGCATTATTGCACACTAATCTGACCTCCAGCTCGATTGTATTCATGTTAATATAGTTTTTTCTATCTTCAGCTGCTCCAGTAAATGTGTGTGTGCTGGAAACACTGAGGACGAACTGCTGTTTATTTACAGTACTATTGAATGTCTGCTAACTCTACAACAACAAGATTTATTTATAGAGCACTTTAAAATCCAAAAGAAATGGACACAAAGTGCTGTCCAGTAAAACAATACATACATAAAAAGCCCTACAACCATACAATGAAACCATAAAATCAATATAACCAAACCTGGATTATCAGTTTCACTTATTAAAAGCCAAAGAATAAAGACTCTAGCTCAGTGTGTGTAAAGCTGTGTACAGATAACACACACAGTGCACTGCAGCGTCAGTGTGAGACGGTCACTCACTGGGCAGGAGGCAGATGTCCCGGTAGTCATGGCAACAGCTGCCCGCGTCCACACACTGACCGTCACAGCGACAGGACGGAGAATCCGCATCCAGCGGCTCGTAGCAACGGTTCCTGCAGGACGCTGACACTCCTGACACACACACACACACACACACACACACACACACACAGACTCAGAGTCCTACTGTATGCTGGGGTGTGTTTCCCGTACAACGCCGTTCCACTACAGCACAAATCAACGAGTCACGACTGTTTACTGAAACTATAATGTTGTAAATCGGTGGTTCAACCACATCAGTTAATGACACACACACATGTTCAATGACACACACACGCTCACTCTTAAAAATGTGCTTTAAATCTCTTGCCAACTACAAGACGTAAATGACATTAGTGTGTGTTCTGAATTAAAGACGCAGGTTGAACTGAATTTTGCTCAAGATCGGGATTATTGAGTCCACATGGAGTCTGCTTCGAACCGCAGCTCGAGATCTGTCGCTCACACACACACACACACACACACCCCTGCTTAGCACCTACGCTCATCTCAGTCTCTGTAATACAGCCTCAGGTCAGTGTTTTACTACAAAATCAATAAAAACAATTTCAAATTATATAATACATTAATGAACCTTTTATTAAACTAACACATGCGACTGAAATGCAATTATTATTGATTAATTTTTGATTATTTACAATTATTCTTGTGTATACACTCAAAGTTCATCCTGTGAAAACGGTTTAGAAAATGGACATTGTGTTACCGTAGAAACAGCACTTTAAAACTTTTAATGGCTTAATCTTCTTTAAATGTGAGCACAGCTTGTTAACACACATGGGTTTGATTTTCTCTGTGATTCTGACCTTTATTCCTGCAGTCTCGCAGCTGGAGACCGAGACCCAGACCCAGACCCAGAATAATCACGAGCACACACACCGCCAGCAGCACTGACAACTGCACACACACACACACACACACACAGAGAGAGAGAGAGAGAGATTAAACATCACAGGCTTCACCTTCGGTTCTGAATACATCAATAAAGACCAAACGATCATGTTCAGGACTCTTATTATATGATCACTCAGAGTCTGCGAGGAATCTGCACTCCATAAACTCTTTAATATAGTGTCTGTTTGAGCACAACTCTGGCCCTCTAGAGGTCAAAGAGCACACTGCAGGCCTTTTGCAGAAGAACATTGCTGTGGTCGTGCTTCGGCTCTGTGTGGATGAATATATAACTTTACTCTGTTTATGAATATGACGACACACACGAGCGAGGCGCTTTCCCACCAAACCCGTCAGGTCTAAAGCACAGTAGATCAGACAAAAACACATCGTATTTACAATTATTACAAATGAAACGCCTACATTTAATTAAACCAACTCCTGTGCATTGCGTACTTACAAATATAGTTCATAATTTAATAACGACAGGTGGACGAGGATCTTCTGTTTCTCACACACACACACACCAGTTCAGACTTTGTATTTCAACACTTCACTGCACTGAATTACACTGAACTCACTGGAAAACTGTGTTTTATACTGTTATCTCAAGTATATCAAGTCTTGTTTTATGAGAATAAAGTTTTAAACAAGAACAACCTGCAGGCCCCTGGAGTGTGTGTGTGTGTGTGTGTGTGTACAGGAGGATTTCTATGATTGATTCAACAATAATGAGCAAAAGAAGAGTCTGAACTCACCAGAAGAATCTTCTTTTTCTTCGTGTTCATGAAATCCATCGAGACGTCCAGAAGAAACTGACAGAGACTCGAAGACACCGCTAGACCCTCTGCAAGTGTGTGTGTGTGTGTGAACTCTGGACTGTGTGTTGTGAACAGTAGCTCACACACACACACACACACACACACACACACACACATCAACAGAATCACGTTTACTGGCACAAAGGAGAAATTGACAAAAGTTTCACTATTTTAGAAATCGTCATAAATTAAAGCTTTAAACACTCATGCTGTCATACTGCGTTTCCATGAAATACTACTTTAAAAACTACTATTTAAATCCTCAGTTTTCATGATCTTAACCTTAGATTTGGAACACACCTGGGTCAGACACACAGCCTTTCCTCGCAGTTTTAGAGTCGAAGTTCCTCTGTAAAATAAATGTGTGCAATAGTGGTGTACAGTGAACTGGAGATCAGTGTGTTAGCCGTCAGACACGAGCTGGTCTGATCAAACGCTCCAAAGGACTTTAGTGTTCGGTTGCTCAAATCATGCCCAGATCATGGAGTCATTACTAGTTATAATAGTCACTTTATTATACGGATCCAAATAATTAGTAATTCCACTTTCATCTGTGCACTATTACTTACTAATTCGTTAATCAGAGTTTTTTTTTTGGTTAATAGTCATTACTAGATTATTAATAAACTTTTTCAGTAGTTCTCTGGGAAGCATGAGTAGTTATAGATGAGTTAATAGTGAACTACCACTTTCACCTGTGAGCTTTTACTAACTAGTTCGTTAATCAGAGTTTCTTGTTAGTTAATAATAGTTACTAGATTGTTAATATTGTGTTACTCATTGGTTCTTGTGTAGTTATTCATTAACGAAGGAACAAAGTGTTACCAGTAAATCCTACACCAAAAGTGTGTTTAGTGTCCGAGCTCATAAAGTATGAAGGAAACTGCAATAATGTTGTGTGTGATCCACTGGAGAAACACACACACACACACACACACACGTGTTAATGTTTCACTGCTGATTATCAAACCAGTATCTGTCATCTCATAAAAAGAGAAACACACACACACACACACACACACACACGTGCACATGGGAACAGCAACGAGTGACACACACACATGTTTCACTGACAGTTCAAGAATTTTATTGACGGAACGAAATCGTTAACGACACTCATTAGTCAGACAGAGCATCATGAGTCACATGACCTTCTGCCACCAATGGGAAGCAGTGATTCACTGTCGCTAATGTATCACTACACACGCACAAATACACCGTTCACACGCGTGTTTACTCATGTTTACACGTGCTAAACACCAATCCAGCGGACACACATAAACCAGCAGGACTATACTACACACACACACACACTGTGTTTATGCTGCGATCACGCCACGTCGTAATTACCGTAGTTACTAAATGACAACCTCAAACTCGGAAATAAGCGTTTCTATGGCAACACTATTAACCCCGAATAAATCTGTGCGATTAGAATTTGATCAACAGACAAAACGGCAAAATAAAGATTACAGGACGTATTTCTGTCTTGTTTTGCAGCACAAATATACATATATATATAACAATCCTTCGAGCAAAAATCTGCCGACGGAGTCAGAAAAATCAACTTTGATTATATTTCAGACTCGATTGGCAGATATTAGCTCTTGTTTTAACACAAACTCTTGTAAATGTTGTTGCTTCTACAATGTTTGGATATTTGTGCTGGAAAACGAGACAGTTATGGCAGTGCATGATTAATAAACGCAGCATTTTTCTATTGTTAGTTCCTGTTATTAACGCATGTTAACAAATGCAATTATGCAAATGCGTTATTAAGAAACGTATGGTTTATCAGTTCAGCAGATCTATAGTGACTGCATTTATGGTGAATGGCTGTACGGTGTAAAAGCGCGGGAGCGGCGTGGCGTGACGGCCGTGTTAGAGACGCGAGCAGCGGTGGACTGTCCGTGTGAGGCGGCGGGTTCATGAGGTGAATAATAAATATGACACAGTGTATAAAACTATACAGTGAAAGCGTCAGGTGCGGCGAGGCGTCCGTCAGCCGTCGTCCTCGAAGGTCCTCATGTGTGTTTTGAGCGCCAGCACGCGTGTGTACGGCAGGCCGGCGGCGCGGAGGAAGTCCAGGCCCGTGAGCAGCTCCACGTCCCGCACGCGAGCGCTGTGTAACCGCAGCAGGTCCTCCACCCAGCGGGACTCGCCCTCGCCGCGCTGCGGGACACAACAGCGTTACAGCGGGAACACACACACACACGTCTGCGTGAGTTGTGTAGTCGTGAGTTGTGTAGTCGGTGAGTTGTGTATCCGGTGAGTTGTGTATCCGGTGAGTTGTGTATCCGGTGAGTTGTGTAGTCGGTGAGTTGTGTAGTCGGTGAGTTGTGTAGTCGGTGAGTTGTGTAGTCGGTGAGTTGTGTATCCGGTGAGTTGTGTAGTCGGTGAGTTGTGTAGTCGGTGAGTTGTGTAGTCGGTGAGTTGTGTATCCGGTGAGTTGTGTAGTCGGTGAGTTGTGTAGTCGGTGAGTTGTGTAGTCGGTGAGTTGTGTAGTCGGTGAGTTGTGTATCCGGTGAGTTGTGTAGTCGGTGAGTTGTGTAGTCGGTGAGTTGTGTATCCGGTGAGTTGTGTAGTCGGTGAGTTGTGTAGTCGGTGAGTTGTGTAGTCGTGAGTTGTGTAGTCGGTGAGTTGTGTATCCGGTGAGTTGTGTAGTCGTGAGTTGTGTAGTCGGTGAGTTGTGTATCCGGTGAGTTGTGTAGTCGGTGAGTTGTGTAGTCGGTGAGTTGTGTAGTCGGTGAGTTGTGTATCCGGTGAGTTGTGTAGTCGGTGAGTTGTGTAGTCGGTGAGTTGTGTAGTCGTGAGTTGTGTAGTCGGTGAGTTGTGTATCCGGTGAGTTGTGTAGTCGGAGTTACAGATGACCTGGATCTGATCCGTCACACTTGCCCAAATCATGTTATTTCCCAGTTTGAAGAAATGTTAGAAATTCCCAGGAAAAATGACATCATCACTGAATCATAAATCAGTGTCACTGCAGCCTAAATAACAGCTTGCTCTGTGTGTGTGTGTGTGTGTGTGTGTGTGTGTGTGTGTTTGTTGTGGTCTGGTTAGTTTGGACTAAATGGCTCCATCTGCTGGTCATAAATAAACACTAGGTTATGTTACACTAGTGATAATTATGTGCATTATTCATATTTATACACACAGCAGAACTTTGAAGCATTTTAACCTACTGTAATTCACACACATGCTTTAAAATAATATATATAAAATAATATTTAAAATAGCTCTTTTTAACTGCATATTTACTTAAATGTAATTTTTTCCTGCTGGATTTTCATCAATTTCATTTGAATTGATGAGTTTTCAGTGTCAAACGATCACATTAATTATCAAAACACATTTATAAGAGTGATTTGTGCACGTGTGGATTGAGTTGTTCCACATTCATAAGCACAAATTTGAGACACAAATGCAAAACTTTTTTCTGTGAGGATGAGCTCAGTATAAGTGTGTGTGTGTGTGTGTGTGTGTGTTACTGACGTCGCAGCTCTCGCTGTTGTCGTCGCGGTGAGGCAGGATGAAGGTCGTGAGCGTCAGTCGTCCGTCGCACTCGTCCAGCGTGGCGTTACGCTCCTCACAGCCCATGATGATGCAGTAGAAGTGTGTGGGGATGGAGACGGAGCCCACCGCATGCCTGACACACACATAAATAGTATTAAATCATATAAAAAATCTTTTAATAATTTTTTTAAATATTTAATAAATTATAGTTATACATAATAAATATTATTATTATTAATATATTACTTCAAATAATACAATTAATAAAAAAATAATTACATTTATATTTATAATATAATTGATTAATATATATAATGGCGTAATTCTAAAATAATAATGTTTTACATTATTAAAAAAATATAAAATATTAGATAAGGTTTAATACTATTTAATTATCTGAATAAATTAAATATATATATATATATGTATGATTAAGTTACATAGATGTAGATATTTATATTTAAAATAATAATTAATTTCACATAATTTGAACGTGATAAACATGTTCATAAAAATAACAGAGTGTCAGACAGCATGTCTCGGAATAAACACTTTTTTATTTTTGATATTATTATATTTTATATTATTAATGAAATAGTAATAAATTATATTTCAATAAACATTTATTTAAATATAACATTTGTATAAAAATATGTATTAGGTGTGTGTGTGTGTGTGATTCTCACTGTTTAATGGTCTCCTCGGTGTCTCTCAGTCCGTCGTGGTCGTGATCGAATACGGGTCCCATGATCACATTCACAGCACTATTCTCCTGACTGTACCGCCGGAGCACCACTGTCTGCAGGTGACGCCACACCTCTACACACACACACACACACACACACACACACAGTGTATGAAGTTTAAATAGTCTTAATTTGGATTTAATGTGATTCACAAACGCATGTTCTTTCAGGAATATAAAAATTGTGTTTTTAATAATCTGAACACATGCCGAACGATGAGTTTCGCTGTCAATAATTTGTTTAAGCTTGATGTTTATAATAAATATTGTTTATAATAAATGGTATAATTTATGTTGGTTTTATACTTTTAATTTTCATTGAAGCAGAAATCATGATCACGATTAAAATATAAAACAGCCAATCAGATGCGAGTTTTGAACGCCGCTGATCTCTCAAACGCTTCACTCAATGTTTTTCTGCTAACGTGGATCAGTTCATGCTCTCGTGATGTTTGGAGCGTCAGACTCACTCTTGAAGGCGGGATACATGGGAACGGTGTTGGTGACGAGAGAAGCGTCGTATCTGGATTCAGCCGTGACGGAGAAATCTGCAGAGAAACAACATCAGTCCTTCAACACACACACACACACACACACAGCAGGCGAGTGTGTGTCGGTTCACCTGCAGCTACAGCACTGCTCATATGAGGATAACATCAGACCAGCGGAGAGAAAACATCAAAATCACGTCTTTGTTTTATCACATCACGTGCATCTGTAGAGTTTCATTAAAATACACATCTCTAAAACACACATCTCTAAAACACACTTCTTTACCGGCGGTTCTCCACTTCAGGATCACTCATACACACCAACACTTACAGTTTCTGTCCTTTCGAAGTCCTGAAGGGTTTTACTGAGGGGATTCTTCATTTCTCATTCACCTGATTATATTCTTAACTTTTTAAGAATACACTTTTTATAGTGAAAATATATGTTGTTTTCTGTTGACAGTATTTATGAGTGATAAAGAGTAAAAACCTTTAACTCTAATCAGTCAACAAAATAAAACAAGAAATATGAACCTGGCTTCAATCAATGTTCATATTAATGTTATGGAATTTTATGCAAATTTAGTAAAAGAAAAAAGCCTTTTGTATTTTTAAACATTCAACATTTTATAAAACTTGTAATAAAAGCTAATACTTAATAAATCAATTATAAGCAGTGAAGTAATGAATTACTATTATAAGTAGGGCTGTGCAAAAATGAATTGCGATTAATCGCATCCAAAATAAAAGTCTGTGTTTACATAATATATTTGTGTGTGCTGTATATAATTATTTTGCATATATAAATACCTATGCATGCATGTATATATATTTAAGAATTATTTGCGATTAAATTCTGTATATATATATATAAATACATAATCTATATTATGTAAATATAAATATTTTATATATGAATAACAAATTTTCTTAAATATATACATGCATGTGTGTGTATTTATATATACAAAATAATTATATACAGCACACAAATATATAATGTAAACACAGACTTTTATTTTGGATGCGATCAATCGCAATTCATTTTTGCACAGCCCTAATTATAAGTAATTATAAATAAGTAAACTGGGGAAATTATGTTGATATAAATGAGTTAAGCCTTAAATTAGACATCATTGGGCTGATTTTTACATTCAGTGTCATAAAACAACCTCGAAGAACAGGAGAAGAGTGTGTGTGTGTGTGTGTGTGACTGACCCGGCGGGTAGAGGAACGCGTGTGTGACGCCGGACTCCTGGCTGTACGTGTTGCATGTGTGTGTGAGATCGAGACGAGGATCTGCTCTCACACACTCGCTGGACGACACCACCTCCACCTGCACACACACACACACACACACACACTGAAACACTGAAAGGGCTCAGAGGAACGTGTGTGTGTGTGTGTGTGTAAGCGCAGTGTTTTGTGCACCTGTGCGGTCAGTGTGAAGGCGCTCCACAGCGGCATGCTGACGGCGGGACTGAAGCCGCTGCAGTAATCCGACTGACACAGCAGTGTGTACGCCGTCTGGAACAGGACAGCGGGACGACCCAACGGCAGGTGTGTGACGTCTGCACACACACACACACACGGGCAGAGATTCATTCATTTACTCTGCTTTGACTCTTTTTATAGAAGTGAAAGCACTTTAAAAAATGAAAATGAAAAAAGTTACAGAAATTTAATTTTACTGTAAAGCAAATGTACTGAACTATACATTTTTATATCATACAAAATAGGCATTTTACAAAATAATTTCAATTAAAAGTCGCTAGAAAATCAAAGTCAAATATCTAACCAAATGTGCAGTTAAATAAGCTGTGAAAGTGTTTTAAACTGTTTTAACTTATATATAAAGAGACAAAATTCACAAAGCAAATGCAAAGAATACATACAAGTAATAATGGTAATAACACATTTAAACAAAGAAAATTATTCGTGCCCCTGCATGCCCTCATCACATGAGCTGTTGGGGACGAGTGTGTGTGTGTGTGTGTGTGTGTGTGTGAAGCTGATCTTAACTGTGGTGCGGGCCGTCGTCCGCAGCAGAACTCTCCTCAATGTTGTTCTGGAAACGAGAAGAGACTCAATACACTGACCTGGAGACAACACGTGTGTGTGTGTGTGTGTGTGTGTGTCGCTGACCTCATCATCACAGTTACAGCTCAGGTCATGGGTCACTTCAGAGGGCGGGGCTAAAGGCGTTGGTGATGTCACTTCCTCCGGCTGAGTGGGAGTATATGTAGGGTTTCTCAGCATGTCATTCAGACTGCCGTGTGTCCCGTTATTAGGAGCCGGAGTCAAACCCAGGAGATCTACACACACACACACACACACACACACACACACACTGCATTCATCTGTCATGATTCTCCTGATCAAACACTCTTTAGAAACGCGTCAGGATTTGCTCACCACACATGACGTTATACAGCTCGATGTTCTCAAACACGGGCACTTGAGTCTTGAAATTGAAGCTCGGCCCGAATCCCATAAAGATCGTCTGTCGGGAAAACACAACGGACAAGATTCATAGATAGGAATATAGATGATAAACATAGGTCGATTGAATTGATTTAAATAATATATAGATGAATGTATTGTTTGATTGTTTGTTTGTTTGACTGATTGATTAATTAATAGATTGATTGACTGATTGTTTGATTGATTGACTGACCTGCATGCTGCTGATCTTGTTGTCAAACCCATGATCTCCGAAGTATCCGCAGGTTGCAGGTGTTCTGCTCTCAAACACAAACACATTAAAACATCACTTGAGTTCGTCTTCCTCTACACGTCTGCTAGAACGGCTTCTACTTCTATTTGTTGGTAAATGATGATCATAGAACAGAACGACTCCACTCGCAACTAAAAACGTAAAACTTTTTAAGCGTTTTGGTCATCCATTTACACGACGACGGCGTTTTGGGAGCCTGTAAACGCTACGTTTTGAAAACGGTTTCAAAGTGCAAGTTTTTAAAAATGTCTCTGTGTAAACAACAGTTCATCTCAGAAGAGGATGGCGTCACGTGTTCAGTCTATAGTGTTTCGTCGCCATCTTCTGGCCTTGACACAGAATACAGGGATTTTTAATTGGTTTTAGCGGATCCATGTGAATGGAAATCGTTTTGACAACGGTGTCGTCTGAACACGGAAAACTTCTCCGTCTTAAGCACATCGTTGACTTGTAAACGTCCCGTATACTCAGTTTTTCTAAAGTGTCGACTATAATAGACTTGTTGTTTTTACATAAAGCTCACACACACACACACACACACACTGGTCCTCACATGGCCACGTGCCACTTGCGGTCCATGAGCAGGTGCACGTCCTCGATGCGTCGGTTGTTGGCGTAGTGCAGCCGTTTGGGCAGGTGCTGCTTCAGGTACGGCTTAAAGTGCTGATTGGGCATCTTACACTGAAACGGGAAGGGTCAAAGGTCACATGATGCACTATGGACAAACACCACAGTGGTTTTGTGTGATTTATATACTTACTGTTAAGTTAGCAACGATCTCCTTCGGATTGTCTGAAACATGAAGAGATGCATCAATAAAACCGGTCATGTAGAGGTTGTAGAGGTATCAGTTCTTATAAAACTGTAGTAAAGTACTTACTGTAATTAACACTGTTTTTGACACATTGTCATTGTGGAAATTGTGACGTTAATGCAATGTTTTTACGTGGAGAAAATATAGCTATTTAATACTTGTAGAAACTGGAAATTTACCATCATTCACGTGTTTTGGTTCAATAATTTGGTCGTTTGGAGTACAATTTTGACATAGTCTCCATACTTTGTTAGCAAAATTAATGAAGAATGTCTCTACAAATTCAGAAAAACATTCTCAAAAAGTTATAAATATTGTCTAAAACACTATATTAGTCTGCAGTTTTTACTTGTGTAACTGCATTAACTCACATGGTGTGTTGGCCGTTTTGGGGCCGATTCGACCGGAGGATCCGGGTATTAACGTGATGGCATCAACATCGAGTCCGTAAGAGCCCAAATACTCCGTTCGCTCACAGTGAGATTCCTCCATCCCTGAACACAAACACACGGAGCAGTGAGACCCGAGTCTTAAAGGCCATCTTTCATTAGATTAGAGGTTTAGGGCAGAATCTGAAGTGTTTATTTCTATAACAGACGTACCGTGATCGCCCACCAGCATGACGTTCACACAGCGATGGAGGTTCATCTGTTTCAGCCCGTTCATCAGCTGACCGATGATGTTATCGATCTTCCTGAGCGTGTTATCCAGCTGTCCCAACACACACACACACACATGCAGTGAAAACACTCTCAAACGGCTGTTTGGCCATGAGCAGGAGTGTAAAGTACACCATTACTACACTTCACTGGAATACTATTGAAACGGACAACTAAATTCCTGCACATCAAGTCTTCTTTTAAAGCTTGAATTTCATTTCACACACGTTTGTTCACTCAGTCGTGTTGGAGACGGGGTTGTAGACTTGATCTTGACTAGAGTAAGTACACTCGTCATCTTCAAACTCCTCTATTCTCAGAGTTAAAACCAGGGTCATATTTACCCTCATCTAAATGTCAGATACTAATCAGAGTGTGTGTGTGTGTGTGTGTTTCACCTCGTTGCTCAGCGTGTGTGTGTGTGTGTGTGTTTCACCTCGTTGCTCAGCGGGCCCAGCATGTGTCCGTAAGTATCCGGCTGTTCCGAGTGGACCGCGTAGACGTACGGCCTGGAAAAACACACCACACACAACTTAATGTGCAAAATAAACTTAGAGGGGAAAATGACCTGATAGCGGAGAGAGCTGATACTGACCGACACACCACTATACGACTATACACAACACACTTATTAAAGGCACAGGTAAATGTGACACTTATATTTTAATTGGTTTATTTGAAGATTGTTTCAAGTTAACTTAAAGCCTATTAATATTAAAAATGATGGTGGGCCCCTTTTTTGATTGATTCAGTCTGATTTGGTGAACCGGTTCAAAAGAATGATTCATTCACGAACCTGACATCACCACAAGCAATTGGGCGAGCTCCTCTCGTGAAAACTAGGTTAATTATCTGAATGTGCTTTTTAAACACCATTTTGTGAGATTCAATCATAAGAATGTTTATTTTCCCAGTAAGAGGAGAAATGACGCACCTCTCGTCATCAGGCAGATGCAGCCACTGCAGAATAGTGAGAATCCTCCTCTCCAGAGGAATCACCCTTCGGACAGACAGACAGAGAGAGAGACAGACGGACAGAGAGTCAGAGAGACAGGTGTTTATTCAGGCCTTCAGAAAGAACGTCACACACAGACAGACGTCAGAGATCTTGTTCACGAGTGGCTGGTCACTTCTTCAGAACTCAAGCGAATGAAGCACATGATGATTGGGACAGACTGAGTGTGTGTGTGTGTGTGTGTGTGTGTGAGTGTGAGAAAGGTCTTTGTTTGTATCATGAGTTGGTTGTGTCATGAGTCTCCTGCAGTGACACTCTGAGCTTTGCTCCAAACACAGACGCTGATTTAAGATGAAAACCTCATTTAAAGGGATAGTTCACTTTGAAATGAATGTTTGATATGTTTTATCTTCCCTCAAGGGCATCCGAGATGTCGGTGTCTTTGTTTCCACAGTATTTTCAATTTTGACATTTTTTAGTCAAACCGTTGTTGTCTATCAGTCATACACTGGAGGCTAAGGGGGTCCACCAAAGAGAAGTCCAAATTAAACATGATTTAATGACTCGTACATGTAAGTACACATTGATGGCCTAAGACACGAAACGAGCGGTTTGTGTGAGAAAACCAACAGTATTTATATCGTTTTACCTCGTGTAATCACAGCCATGACAAAATGATCTGACGGCACGGGCGCTTCGGTCTGGAAGTGATCTCTTGAGCGCCGACGTCACTCTTTGTTTTTACCTTTCACTAAACATGTTTAGATATACGGGAAACCGCAATGGAAGACGATTTCGGTATATCTAAATATGTTTAGTAAAAGGTAAAACTTCCGAAATCTCAGTGTAAATATTGAGTGACGTCACACGCAAGCGATCACTTCCGGCGTAACATTGAACTGATTCAGTTCGGTTCAGTTGGACATTGAACAACTGATTCAGATCACTGTGATTACACGAGGTAAAAACAATATAAATACTGTTGGTTTTCTCACACAAACCGCTCGTTTCGTGTCTTAGGCCATCAATGTGTACTTACATGTACGAGTCATTAAATCATGTTTAATTTGGACTTCTCTTTGGTGGACCCCCTTAGCCTCCAGTGTATGACTGATAGACAACAACGGTTTGACTAAAAAATGTCAAAATT